AAAAAAAAAAAAAAAAAAAAGAAGAAAATTGTGTACCTGTTTTATGTCTTTTAGAAGGAGCGATATATAGTTATAAGCAAAGTAGATGAAGAAGAACGCAAAAGAAGAGAACAGCAGAAACATGCCAAAGAACAGGTAATTGAGCTATGTTAATTCTTGGGGGATGAGAAATGGCAAAATAAATCCTGATTTATTCATGTCTATTTCAAATCATATGTTGGGTTCAATTTAATGAAGTAAGTTTCTTTCATAGAACAATTGAATTGGCAGCAAAACCTGGACTAGAATAAGGGGAAGTTAAGTTTAAGCATGAGATGTAGCCAGCAAAGTGAGTCAGACATCACTGTTGACCAGTGTCTACTTAAACCAGTCTTGAAGAAAGTATTCTTGATTCTCATTTAGCGTGTGTGTCACTGAGCGTTACTGCCCTTTAACTAATACTGCCATGTCTAAATTCATGTCTACTAACTGGTTTTCTTAAAACCAAGTTCAGAGCACATGTTCCGACAGATGAGGGTGACATAGTTACATTGTATTATTGGAACATCACCCTGCTTGCTGTGTGAAGAATGGTCTCGAGTGAGTTAAGACTGGAGGCAGGAGACCAGTTAAGCTGTGGAGTAACCTAGCTAAGAGATGTTGGTGATCTGGCGTAGGATAGTTAGTAGCAGTGTAGATGGAATCTGGAGATAGTTGGAAGGTGGAATCCATGGAATTTGTGAGTGGATGTGAGTGGTGGAGGAGGAAGGAGGAGGGAGGAAGATGATCATAGCAGATACTTGCACAATGAGGTAGATTGTATTCCATTCACTTGGAGGGGTTGACTGGAGTGACATCGATCCCGGGGAAAGGTGGAGGAGAGAGGAGTGGGTTTGCATGTGGATGAATGTCATGTTCATACGCACGTAAGGCAGGGTCACTCCTAATTGACTCAACCAGTAAGATACAGTGAGCCACTTTGGGAGGCAGCATATTACCTACACACAGAAAGATTAGCAAAAGGTGCTGCCTGTGGTCCCTGTCCCACATACTAAAAAGGACAATGCAAAAACAAAAGTTGCCAGTTAGAGGCCAGGTGTGGTGACGTGCGCCTGTGGTCCCATCTACTTGGGAGGCTGATGGTGGAGAATTGCTTGAACCCGGGAGGCAGAAGTTGCAGCTGCAGTGAGCCGAGATTATGCCACTGCAATCCAGCTTGGGCGACAAGTGAGACCCTGTCTCAAAAAACAAAATGGGCCGGGCGCGGTGGCTCAAGCCTGTAATCCCAGCACTTTGGGAGGCCGAGGCGGGTGGATCACGAGGTCAAGAGATCGAGACCATCCTGGTCAACATGGTGAAACCCCGTCTCTACTAAAAATACAAAAAATTAGCTGGGTATGGTGGCACGTGCCTGTAATCCCAGCTACTCAGGAGGCTGAGGCAGGAGAATTGCCTGAACCCAGGAGGCGGAGGCTGCAGTGAGCCGAGATCGCGCCATTGCACTCCAGCCTGGGTAACAAGAGTGAAACTCCGTCTCAAAAAAAAAAAAAACAAAATGGTGCCAGATGATGGTAGCATGCGTTGTGGAATGTGGCTTCACTAAGGAACCAGTTCTAGGCCGCAGCTCAGGACTTTGATGTTCTGCAGCCCTCTTCTGAGAGGGCGAGGCAGAGCCCCACACCTCCTCAGAACCCAGGAGGTAATAAGGAACTTTTTCAGGACAGCCTCCCAGGAGGCGATGAGGAACTGTTTCATGACAGGGAAGTGGGTGGGAGCTGGCCTCATAGCAGCTCCTTAGAAGGCTCTGCCTCCCACCCTTCCCTCCTGATGTGTTCTGCCAAGATGCAGATGAGTCTGTGGCCAAGACACAGATTAGCCTTTACCTGCGTGGCCAGTTTTTATTCATGCAAGGCCACCAGGGCACCATGGCGTCCCCTAGAGTAGAAAAAGATGGTCCCCCAGAATGGAAAAAGATGATCTATTCTGGTTTTGACCTAATGAGGTTTTGGGTGTGTGTTTTTTTTTTTTTTTTTTTTCCTTTCTTTTTTTTTTTTTTTAAGACGGCTTTTCGCTTCTGTCACCTAGGCTGGAGTGCAATGGCACGATCTCAGCTCACTGCAACCTCTGCCTTCCGGGTTCAAGCAATTGTCCTGCCTCAGCCTCCCAAGTAGCTGGAATTACAGGGAACCGCCACCATGCCTGGCTAATTTTTATATTTTTGGTAGAGAAAGGGTTTCACCATGTTGGCCATGATGGTCTTGAACTCCTGACCTCGGGTGGTCCGCCCACTGGGATTATAGAGGAGAGCTACCGTGCCCAGTCGGTTTTGGGCGTTTTTAGGATATGCAAGGGTGGATGTCCTGTCAGCAGCTTTACCAGTGTTGAACACTGGAGATGGGTGAGAGCTAGACATGATTGTCATTGGTAGAGAAACTGGGACTGGACCAGAGCACCTGCGGAATGCTTTAGGAATGAGAAGAGGACCTAGGGCAGAATCCTGAGGATCACCAGAATTTAAATGATAGGTAGAAGTCAACAAAACATACCAGATTATTATGACACGCAGCCAAGGGAAGAGAGAAAAAGGGGCACTCAGCAGTGTCGGATTCCCTGTAGGGGTTAGGACTGGGACATGGCTGTTAGATTCAGCCCTGGCAGTAGTTTTTTAAACTATAATTTAAACAATTTTTCCCTTTCTATACTAAAAATGCAAAACAATTAGCCAGGTGTGGTGATATGTACCTGTAGTCTGAGCTGCTCAGGAGGCTGAGGCAGGAGACTCGCTTGAATCCAGGAGGTGGAAGTTGCAGTGAGCCGAGATCGCATCACTGCACTCCAGCCTGGACGACACAGCAAGACTGCGTCTCAAAAATGAAAACATCTCAGCTCACTGCAACCTCTGCATGCTGGGTTCAAGCAACTCTCCTGCCTCAGCCTCCCGAGTAGCTGGGACTACAGGTGCCTGCCACCACGCCTGGCTAATTTTTTTGTATTTTTAGTGGAGACGGGATTTCGCCCTGTTGGGCAGGCTGGTCTTAAATTCCTGACCTCAGTTGATCTGCCTGCCTTGGTCTCCCAAAGTGCTAGGATTATAGGCATGAGCCACTGCACCTGGCCCCAAAAAAGCAACTTTTAATTGTGGTAAAATATACATAAAATTTATCATCTTAACTATTATTAAGTGTACAGTTCAATGATGTCAAGTACTTTAACATTGCTGTGCAATCATCACCACCATCCATCTCCATAATTCTCTTCATCTTGCAAAACTGAAACTCTGTACTCATCAAACAACTGCCCATCTTCCACCCCTGCCACTCAGCCCCTGGCAACACTATTCTATTTTCTGTTATACAAATTTGATCACTCTGAGTACCTCATATAAGTATAGTATTTGTCCTCCTGTGACTGGCTTTTTTCTCTTAGCATAGCGTCCTCAAGGTTCACCCACGTTATAGCATGTGTCAGAATTTCTTTTCCTTTTTGAGGCTGAATAATAATCCGTTGTATGGCTAGACCACATTTTGTTTGTTTATTCGCTTGTTTGTAGACACTTGGGTTGCTTTGGACTATTGTGAATAATGCTCTTGTGAACTCAGATGTACAAATACGTATTTGAGTCCCTGCTTTCAGTTCTTTGGTGTATATACCCAGAAGTGGAATTGCTGGGTGTTAGGGGAATTCTTTTTGGGGGAAGCCTCCATACGTTTTTTTTTTAGCAGCTGCATTGTTTAACAGTTTCATCAACAGTGCACAGGTTCCAGTTTCTCTACATTCTTGCAAACACTTGGTAGTCTTGGGTTAGTTTTTTATTTGGAGACAGAGTTTTGCTCTTGTTGCCCTGGCTGGAGTGCAGTGGCATGATCTTGGCTCACTGTGACCTCCATTTCACGGGCTCAAACGATTCCACTGCCTCAGCCTCCAGAGTAGCTGGGCTTACAGGCATCTGCTACCATGTCTGGGTAATTTTGTATTTTTAGTAGAGACAGGGTTTCACCTTGTTGGTCAGGCTAGTTTCAAGCTCCTGACCTCAAGTGATCCGTCCGCTTCTGCCTCCTAAAGTGTTGGGATTACAGGTGTGAGCCACCGCGTGTGGTCAGTCTTGGGGTTAGTTTTAGGGAGGTGAACAATTTCAGCGAGCGTGAAGCCAGAAGGCTGGGAGCGCCTGGGAGTTAAACTGGAGAAGTCCTTCAAGCAAGTTAGCTTTGATGAAACAAGTAGAAGGGGCAGTAGTTGGAGAGAGCTTAGAGGAAAGGAGGTTTTCAAGATAGGAGAGACACTGAGACTTTTTCAACAGTATTGGAAAGAAAATAGGAGAGAAGAAGATGGGTGGGGTGGGAGAATTTTGTAAAAATGTATTTTTCAAGTGAAAAAAATCAGGAATTATGAAAGTGCTTGATTTGCTCAGTTAACTGTCGGATGGGTTCCTTAGAATTGAATGTGTTACTGAGTTTAGCCTGCAGGTGGCAACTTTTTAAATTAGTGTTTTTAAGACACCTTGAAAGACTTGGAAATTTTAAAGAATTCGGTGAAGCGATGGGTAAATCCTAAGCATTGTTGTTTTGGTGACTAATGAATAATTTTCCATTTGTTCATTCTACTTTCTAAAATAGAAGAGTATGTATGTAGATTATTTTAGTTGTAGATGTTTGGGAAGATAGGTGTAAAGCACAGGAAGCTAAAACCGTCTAACTGAATACAAAATTTGAGTGTCTTTACTTGGGGGTCGGTTTTTTAAATTCATGCACATAAGGAATGTTTATACATCAATAATAATATATGTATATATTTTTTTAATTAGGAGGAGCTGAACGATGCTGTGGGATTTTCTAGAGTCATTCACGCCATTGCTAATTCGGTAAGTGAGCCGGACTTTTTAGTGAGATTGCAGAACATACTATCTCAGGTGAAGTATCTAATTATTGCGGATTAATCATTTCTTCTCATTTAGTATTTTTACCTGGTATGGAGGAAGAAGTTAGAACTTCATCAAGATAGACTGTTGTTATAATGGACTTGGTGAGACATAATTGCTGAATTATATTCAAATCATTTTTCAGAGAGCCTTGCTTGAAAAATGCATAGGGAGGTTACACCATGTTGTCCATATATGGCGACATGAAAACTAAGGGTTATTCTCAAAACCAGTAAGACATCGAATAAGAAAGTAAGGAATAAGAAGAGAAACAACCATATATTTGACTGAAGGTGTTTTGTTCCCTAAGTAGAAGAATCTAGAGGATAAAAATAATAATGTCTTTGTTTAGTGCTGCATAAATGTAATTGAATTTTATTCTTTTTTTTTTTTTTTTTT